TAGCTCAGAGTAGGGCTTACTTTTCCAAAGGCTGCGATTTCAGGAAACCACCCCTCATATCCCAATCTTCCAACCCGTTATGGATTTGATGCCTGTAATCCTATCATTAGAAAACCATTCTTTGGGTTGAAAAAGGTAAATTGCAAGCACCCCTGGGACGAGTCACACTGTTAACACTGTAGTGCTAATTTATGATTTTATCTTCCAGGCTTATCCAGATTCATCAGTGGGACGGGGAGAAATGAGCAGGCTGTGGGGCGAGGTCGCGGGGAGGTGAGAGGAACTTGGAGAACGCAGCCACCGGGCTATGAATACTTTTGAGGAAGGTCTCAAGAGATGAGCCCCCAGCAAAGTTGGGAGGGGTTTTCCCCAGGAGGAGTAGCGCGGCCCCCGGGGCGCGGGGAGGAGCCCGGTGTCCCGCGCCTGCCCCGGGCTGGCTGCGCGCGCGCACCAGGAAGTGGCCGACTCTTCCGCGGCAGCAAACCGGGACTTTCGGTTTGTCGCCTCAGGTTTCTAAGAGGATTTATAGGTTACGAAGGAAGGTAAGGGGGGGTGTAAATAGCCCGGAAAACCCGATTTGAGCCTTGCTGTACAGAACTGCCTACTGCGCGCAACTGCCCATGGGGCGGGGCATTGAGTAGGCAGACGGGGCTGGGGACCAGAGGCTAGGGACGGGATGAGGTCGCGTGCAGCCTCGCGCACTTTGTCGCACCCTCACCACCTGCTCCCTCACTTTCCGGCTTCCCCTGGCCCTGCAGCCCGTCAAAGTTCAATTGGTAGCCTTTCCTAGAGTCTCCTCTTTGTTAACCCTTCCTACAGACACAGTGGGCAGAACCTCCTCAAAGAGGAGAATGGAGGAGCTGGTGGAGGCTGGTGGGGGAAGGAAGGACCTAACTGCACGTGGGATGCAGTCTGGACGCAGTAGTCAACCCATCTGCCTGTCTGATTTAACAAGGAACCGTGTCTGGGCCCAGGCCAACTGTAGGAATGATGAACAGAGAGTGCAAGCAAAACCCTTGTTGGTGGGTGAACATTTTGCTCCAAGGGGATTGTTGGCCCTGGGAGGGTGACCAGACCTACCACATTGTCTTTTTGATGTGAACCTCTCAGAGGCTGGGGTCAGGTTATCCCCTGAAGCCCTGGAGAGTTAGTCCACCTTTCTAACTGGCTACTCTGACTCTAGGGCCCTGTTTGATCAATTCCTGGGCAGGAATGGAGCAGTGGTCACACTTTTTTTCCTTTTGCTAAGGGAAAAAAAAAAACCCAAGCATTTATTTAAAACGGAAAAAGGAAAAAGGAAAGAAAATAATCATTTCTGTGAACAAATGCTCCTCTGATATTAAGAAACTATGAAACAGAACTCACCTTATCTGGTATTACTGTTCTGCCATGAAACGTATATTTCACTGCAGAAATTACTAAACATGAGATGCTTTTTACCAGGAGTGATGGCTGGTTGGTACCCTGAAATAGTAGGGTCTTACTTTAGACTGTTTTTGATAATTTGGAGGAAGAGACCTACCCTCCTGCTTGGGTACAGGGCAAGTGAACCACAGTCATGGTGGTAGTCACCAATGACAGGTCCCACATGCTCACAAAAAAGTCTAAGTGTTCTGGGGTAGGGATAGCTGTCTTCAAATTCCCCAGCTCCCCTGTTCCTCCTCTGCCAACCCCTAAATGGGCCTGTGGCTTCCTTCTTCCTTCCCACTTCCCTACCAGCTAGAGGGACAGGACCCCTCTCTTGTATCACTCCCTTCCTCTGTAGTCTGAGTTTCAAGGGCACTAACGACCTCAGCTCTACCAGGTCACTCTTTATCTTATTTCTCCTCTCTGGCTCCTCTCCATATCAAATACATACATTTTTCTCACCTTGAAAAAAATGTCAGTCTCAGGCCACATACTTTTGATGGTATTAACAGGTGGTCTAGAGCATGCTGTAACCTCCCCACACTCCAGTAGGCAGAGTGTCAGGAAAGTTTTGTGTGTGTGTTTTTAAATTTTTCACATAATTGTACTTTTCCTCACAGCACTTATCTGCATTATTACATCTTGTCAGTTTTGCAGGTTGGAGACATTGAGGCATGAAGAAGCCAAGTGACATGCTTTGAATCAGAGCCTAAGGAAGGGCAGTGACACATGTTGAATGCCTGCTGTGTTGACCACAGTCCTGAGCACTTCATATGTATATGAACTTGTTTAATTCTCACCATAACCCTGAAAGGTAGGTATTATCAGTCCTATTTTTATAGATGGTGACACTGAGATTCATAGGACTTAAGTAACTTGCCCCAAACCATATAGCTAGTGAGAAGCAGAGCTGGGATTAGAACACAGTTCCAAAGTCTTTCTTAACTATGACAATTTATTGCCTCTTACTGGGAGGTTGGGTGGACGGTGCTATCCTTAACATCTGAACTTTGGGTCAGCTTAAATATATTCTATTGAAAATTTGAAATCCCCCCCCCAAAATAATTACATGCTGTGACAGTTGCTTTCTTTAGCACTTTGTAGTCATACAAAATGGTATGTGAGCTCAATATTACAGTATCCATGTCAGCATTCTCTAGGCTATGTATTGATCATGACATACTAATTTAGCAGTATTAGAGGGAGCTGTGGAGGAATCTTTGTTAATAAATCCATTACGTACATTGGACTTTTAAATATGTAATTATTATGAGTTAAGCTATGATTTACCATTGGAGTGAAATCCAAGCTGGAGGTCAAGGGCAAAAAAGTAGGATGTCAGGCCAAGTCCATTCAGGTGTCCTGGGTACTTAAGAATGGTACTTACACTGCAATAGACAAACACTATAAGGTAAATAGTCAAAAAGACAGTCCTGTGTTGGAGGAAGAAAAATCCCTTCCTCTTTCCAAAGTGAGGCCCTCTACTTGTGTTCTCAGAGTTAACCGTTTTAACTCTTCCAGCTTTGGTCTCATAGTTACTCCTACTATTCCTTCCCCCTGCTCCCCTCCAGTATTGCCATCCCCACTCAATTCCATACTGTCTTTAACACATGACAGTTATTATTAATGCTTACTGAATAGCTTTTGCCAGGTACTAGACACTGTTCTCAGAGCTTTATAAATACCTCTGTTTAATCTTCTGAGTACTTTTTATTATCTTTTTTGAACTCTTACAACCACTCTGTGAGGTAGGTAGTATTATCTCCATTTTACAGGTGAAAAAAAGGAAGGTCAGAAGGAATAATTAACTTTCCAAAGGCCACCTAGCTAGTAAGTGGTGGAGCCAGCAGACTGCACAGACCAGGTCTGTCTGATCTTGGGTCTGCACTCCTAAAATCTCAAAACATTCATTCGTCCTACTGCCTGCCACTTCCCATTGCCTTTTTTCTTTCTTTCTTTTGCCTCAGACTTGCTGGATATGTCAGTGCCTTCATCAAAGGCATCTCCCCTGGCCTCCCCAGCTCTGCACTTTCCCGACTGTTCTGAGTCACCATCATCTCTTCTTGCTCTCCAAATATTGTTTTACCCCCAGGTTTAGTCATTGGCCTTTTGCTCTTCTGTCACCTCTCCCAGGGTGATCGAGACACAAAGGATTACTTAAAGCCCATTTCTTCTGAGCAGTGAGAGGCCCTGAAGAGGTTAATTTTCCAGGAACCCTCAAGAGAGCAACGTTCTTCGGAAAAATAACACCGAACTTGGGTTCTCTCTCAGTATTTATTCTTCAGGCCAGAAAGTTACAGAAAAGGAACATAGGTGCTTACAAAAAGAACAGTAAGATAATTGTCTTGGCAACAATCATTAGGTGTAGCTGCACCAAGGACATCTGCCCTTAGAGCCAGCAACTTTGCTGTGTTACAATTCTTTATCTACAACAGAGACTTTAGCCTGGGGAAAATTTCCTGTCTTTCACAAGCTTAACATTTCTATGTGTAATTCTAAAAAGGTAGGCCCTGTGAAATACATTTGCTTTATAAATGTTAGTATGCTCCACACTCTTCTCTTTACTCAAAGCTCTCTTTTTATCTTACGGCTTACACTCGACCAAATCGCTAGCCCCGACTTCTCTCCTGACTTATACTGCTTCTCTACTTACTTGTTAGATGTATCCGTTTGGAGATTTCTCATTTACTTTTGGTGGCTGGCAGGTATGGAGATCCAAACCCTTGATCTTGGTGTTGACACCACACTCTACCGAGTGAGCTCTCTGGCCAGCCCCCATTTGGATATTTCTCTACTATTTCAAACACAACGTATGTGTCAAACATCAACTTGCTTTTTCTTGACCTCCCTATTTTGTCTTTATTTCTTTATGTAAAGCCTCCATCAACTCATATAGGTTTTATTGTAAAAACCTATATTTTATGCAGGCATTAAAATTCCTCCAAATCTCACTTTGACTTAACTTTTCAGCCTTATTGTCTCTATTCCCTGAAAGGAACTACTGTTTTAGCTAGGCCAGTCTACCCACTGTCCTCCAAACATCTAATTCATCTCTCTGCCATCCCTGAAGACCCAGTGCATGGCCTACTTGCTCTGGGAAGTCTTTCCTGAGCACTCATCAGGAACCAAGCATATTGTGTTATTTACTAACATCTTTCCTGTGTGGACATTTGATCTCATCTATTAGGTTGTGACCTTTGTAACCCCTCCAGTATCTGTTGTGGCATGGTGTGTCTTGTACATAATGCTTGCTGAATATTTGATTGGCCGTTGGATGGGAGGGCAGGATAGGGAAATATATTGGCCATAGAGATGTATCCAGAGAGTTGGAACTCTTTCCTGGAGGACAAAGACTATATTTTCCTCATCTCTTTATTTGAGGAGCCTAAGACAGTGCCGTCCACACACTAATTCCATTCTATTCAACAGGCCTGCTTTTATTGAGTGTCTACTCTTTGTCTGCACTGTGCTAGGTGCTGGGGTTCCATAAGGGTTTGTAAATGAATGGAGGGATTTAGGAGTTGTTTCCATTTGCAACTTCTGTATGTCCACCTTTCACACAGGTGAATTTCAGTGTGTGTCTTTGGGTGGCAGGCATTAAGAGAAGAGTCCCGATGCACAGCCTGAGATGCTTCCTCTCCAGGGTGGGTCTCTCCTCTAAACCAGGACTGCTTCCCTGGTGTGTCAGAAAACCACCAGGTTGGTCAGAGCTCTTTTCGGGCATAGCATGTAAGGTGAGTTTCACCCATGAGATAGCCAAGAAGTGTCAAAAAGGACAAAGTCAGAAGAAACCAAGCCATCTTGTACCACCAGATCATTCCTGGCAGGAAAGATAAGGCTCAGGCTGATGCCCTTTTTCCTTAGCAAGTCTGAATCTGTGAGTCTGCTGAGATTCTGTATTCCTAATGTAACTAATGTGGAATTGCAAGGATTTGAGGGTACACCTGAGGTAGGATACCAAGGGCAAACTTGAGGACATCTGAAGAATATTGGTGGAAATGCTTTGGGATCACAGAAAATGTTCTCCTTGCCTTTGAGTGTGTTTTTGTCAGATAGGAGATATTAAACTGGGACCTTGTCTCTAAAAAGGTCCAGGGCAGATATGCTAAAAACCAGGGACCTGGAATATTTGATGGATTAGAAATGAATAGTCCCATTGCAGCCATACAAATACAAATATATCGCATTTTATGCAACAAATATATTTTCTAAATCAAATTATATTTTAAAAGCATTAGGGAGGTGAGCTATTTAAAGGAACCCAACATATTTGTAATATGATTAATTACTACCTGATAAATCTGGATTTTTCTTGTATTAGATTTGTCCATCTGTTCTGCTTTAAGTAGACAGCACCAAAATGGGCTCTTCTCCCAGACTCCATCTCTCCACAAGCATGTGAGTTAGGTCTTCTGAATGATAAGTGAAATGCCAGAGAAAATGGTGGCAGGAAGTACTTACACATAGTAGGTGCTCAGTACATATTTATATAATTAATGAAGTGCCTGAATTATTTTATTCAAGTCTGGCTGATATTGTGACGCCACTCTGGAAGCTGAGCTATGAAGAACAGCTCAAGGTAGGTGCCCAGCTTAAATCTTCTCCCCCTACTCTCCAGCAGGGGAATGGTGCTGTACTCATAGAAAGCTTAACTAGACAGCTTCTATCCAGATGCCTGAACAGCTCCTTAAACTCAATATGCTAATCACTCCAAAATTTGAACTTTAGGCCTGTTGTATCTTTTACACTCTAGATGCACAGATCCAAATGCCTATTTCCTTTTTTCCTTGCTCTTTTTGTTGTTATTGTAGCTCTGTGTATGTAAGTAGCAGCATTCTTGCTGTTTCATATATGGCTGCACTTTCAACGCAGTAGCCACTAGCCACATGTGGCTATTTTAATTTAAATGCAATCAATCCTGCTATAATGCTTGTTCTGAAAATGAAAATTTGTTCCAGCGGATTGACGTATTAGGGAACAATTTGAGCATAATGCAAATTTCACGTTTGCTTAGGAGTGATTTTGTCCCCAAGAAATGCTAGATGAAAGGAGGAAATGCACCCAGCTGAACCAAGCTACGTAAGAATATCTAAAATGAACACATGCACACACCTCAAACATCTACCACTCCCTCAGTTCCCTGAGTGTATGAGCCACACCTATTCAAGTCTGGTGTTAGAACTTTCTGTCCAACACACATAACCCTCCTTTTGCCACTTCATAGTAACTCTAAGCTGCAGTCCTTCTGACACCCACTTCCACAAGCAAGCTTCAGGTCTCTATCAGGGTAAGTGCTATCCTTGTCGTAATAGTCATATTTCTTAACCATTTGATGTGCTACTGGTTTTTATTAGTTTCCTATCTTTTCTGTGGGTGTTATTGATAGTTTTGGAATGTTGTGTGTCTGACCCCATTTTTCTCATGAGCCCTGTGATTTTTTTTTGTATGATTTTGCATAGTGTAGTGTAGGAACACTTATGTCACATCATAGCAGAGCTGACTATAAATTAATTAAAATTACATAAGATTAAAAATTTAGTTCCTCATTCCAGCTAGCAGCATTCCAAGTGCTCATTAGCCACATGTGCTAGTGGCTATGAAGTACATAGCACATAGTACAGACATAGAATGTTTCCATTATAGAAAGTTCTACTGGGGGCCAGCCCGGTGGCGCACTGCTACAGTGCGCTGCTTGGGAAGTGTGGCAGGCGCTCCCGCCGAGGGTTCGGATCCCACATACAGACCGGCCGCTCACTGGCTGAGCGAGGCGTGGGAGCAACACCGAGGGTTGCGATCCCGTTGCCGGTCCCGGTCCAGTACGGGCGTGACACTGAGGGTTGCGATCCGTTGCCGGTCACGAAAAAAGACAAAAAGGAAAAAAAAAAAAAATTCTACTGGATAGCACTGATGTATACCTAGAGTGTTCATTCTGAAAGGTGATATAAAAGATAAAATCATCTTACACAAGAGCTCACTCTTGACCTTTCCCCAATACTTTATTCGGTCTGTTCCTGTTACATCATTCTGGTTTCTTATCTGCTGAGACCATGACCAAAAAATCTGTAGTATTTTGTCCTGTTTGTTTTCCATTCTTTGAGGTGAAACTACAAGTCTTCTGTTTCATTGTTTTATATTCTCTTGCAGATGAAATTTGAAGCTCAGAAGAAGGTTTTACAAAGACTAGAGTCTTACCTCCAAATGCTCAGTGGAGTCAGTGTGACAACAGTTGCACCCAACTCTGAGGGGTTCTTTTATCTTCTCCATCCTATTATACCCTCTGTATGCCCCTACATCCCTATTTCTTATCTACTGAGTCCCCTTTATGACTAATAACATTAGCCAATATTTACTGGGCACTTGCTGGGGACCAGGCCCTGTGTTAAGTGATTATCATACATCATTGTCTCATTTTACTGTTTACAGTAACCCTGAGGGGTAGGTACTATCATTTTATAGATGAAGACATTGAGGCTCAGAGAGATCAAGTAATTTTCCCAGGATACACATCTAGAGTGCCAGATATGAGATTCATACTTGGATCTATCTGATATAGAGCCATTTTATCAACCACTACACTAGTACCTCCTTAGGAAGGTTTGCAAAGTCTGGACTTTTTCTAACAAGGCCTCAGAGAGGCAGAATTTAATTTATGGCAGGGACCTGTTCCTGCCATCTATTTTTGTAAATAGAGGTTAATTGGAACACAGCCAAGCTCACTTGTTCATGTGTTGTCTATGGCTACTTTTGCACCACAGTGGCAGAGTTGAGTACTTGTGACAGGGACTATATGGCATACAAAGCCTAAAAACTATTTACTCTCTGACCCTTGACAGAACAAGTTTGCTGACTCCTGCTTTATGGCAAGAATGGAACTCCTTTGTACTGTGCAGTGTCTTGATCTTCTCAGCCAGATTTTCACATATGCCAAACCTTCCAAGCAAGCATCATTTGTCCTCATCCAGAGAACATTCTTGCTTTTGCTCTACTGTTGTCCTCCTTGATTTCATTTGACCTCTTGTCCCCCTCCTGTTGTTCTGCCTTCTCCAGCCTGTCATCAATGGCTACCGAAATAAGTCCACCTTCTCTGCGAACCGAGGTCCAGATGGCAATCCAAAGACTGTGGCGTACTACCTTGGAACTTGGAGAGGTCAGTTGAAGGCTGTGACTAGCAGAAATAACTAACCAAGGACTGAGAGGCATGTGTAGACATGTATGCAGAGAACAGTGTCAGTAGGAATGGAAAATAGATGGCCGTAAAGAAGGTTGAATTGGAAGTCTTTGATGCAGAGCGTGATCACAAGGTTGATTGTGGATACCTTTTGATGGGTAGTCATTGTAGCATAGTGATAGAAATCACAACCCTGGCCCTTTCTTCCTAGTAAACACATAGTAAGTAAGTGCTAGCATTGCTGCTGCTGCTGTCTCATCATAGTCTTCATCATCATTGTTTTATGCTACTTTTTATACTGGGAGCAGTCTCCTTGTTAGGGACCTGCCTTTTCTATTTCACATCCCATGTCCCTGAAAATTAGAACTTTCTGTGGTAAATCTGCCTTAAAAGAATTGGTAGGAGAGGTGAGTACTAGTGAGGTAAATCAGTGGCATAATTCCAGTATCCATTCCTAGATTCCATTCCTGAGCTTTCCATTTGCCCATTTTCAATAAATAAACTTGAAACACCATCAGTTTATATTAGTCATACTGCTTCATATCCATATGCCTTAAACTGCAGTTCATTAGGACAGGCACTTGGCTTTTTCCCCCCGTGTGCTGAATTAAGTGAGTATATGATGTCAGCGTTCTATTATACTGTAATAGAAAAACGAAACCCATTACATTTTATTTCCTCTTAAAATCTGAACAGAAAGCAAACTTTTGTCATATTGTGTATTTGTGGCATGAGAGAATATTGAGGACTAACTCCATTAAGAATTAGCTGCTTAATGGGCAGACCAGAAAACAATTAGGTTTTTCTGAAAAATGGCCATGAACTTGAATTAGGCACTTTGCTTCTTCATGTCTACATATACTTCTTTGAATAAGGGAATTTGAGTTGCCAGACATTTTCTTTTAAACAATAAATAAATAAACACAGAAACAAATAAGGGGGGGGGGGGAAGAAACAACAATCAAAAAAATTCCTTGAACTTTTTAAGTCAGGTGAAGAGAGAGGTGGGGGGGGGGGGGGGGGAAAGACACAACAATCACAAAAATTCCTTGAATTTTTTAAGTCAGGTGAAGAGAGAGGTGGGGGGGGGGGGGGGGGAAAGACACAACAATCACAAAAATTCCTTGAATTTTTTAAGTCAGGTGAAGAGAGAGGTGGGGGGGGGGGGGGGGGAAAGACACAACAATCACAAAAATTCCTTGAATTTTTTAAGTCAGGTGAAGAGAGAGGTGGGGGGGGGGGGGGGGGAAAGACACAACAATCACAAAAATTCCTTGAACTTTTTAAGTCAGGTGAACAGATATGATGTGGAGGGGAGGGGTGGGGGTGGAGAAGAATGAGGAAAGGGACATGAAAATCAACTACAATGTATATTGAGAAGTAAAATAAAATTAAAAAAACAACAACAAAAACCCTATGAAGGAAATCAATATATCACTGTTGTATTATGGCCAATAAAAATCATGATGCACACTAAGAAAAAATAATAAACAATCTTTTAGCGAATTATAATGTGTCAATTAAAATTTGAAAAAATAATTTAAGAAAACTATAAATTTATTTTTTCCTTTCCATAGATAGGAACATTGTCTGTGTACAGTCTAATCATCTGAAAAACATCCCCCAGAAGCACAAACAAGTAGCACAGGTGAAAAGGAACAAGGACTGTGGAAGATGACCCAGGGCACTGTGGTTTATAACAGCAGCATCCCTGACATTTTAATAATAGAGCAGCTTCTAGTGCTAGAGGGGCTCTGTACTGAAAGCATACCTCTTAACTTGGAGAGAACACTGATAGTATTTCACTCTAGGGAGGGTGGAGAGGAAAGTGAATGTCCATTATTGTAAATGTCAGACATCACGATCTTTAATAGTAGGGAAGTATTAGTAAATGGAGGTCCTGATGAGGACACTATAACAAGTGTCTGGTGTCTGAAATACTTGGAAGGCTAGTGTCTTCAGAACAGAATTGAGAAATATCATGAGAGATGTGGGAGTGATGGTAAGGCATCTGCATCATGAGGTTGGCTTCTGAGACATTTTTATATCCTATTTCATGTACCTACTACTGATTGAGTGTCAGGCACTGTGCTAGGTGCTGGGGCTACAATGGTGACTCAACATGTCAGCAGACATGGTGTAAGTCCTCATGGAACTTAAAAAAAAAAAAAAAAAAAACCAAATTTTTTTTTTTGAGGACTGAACAGGACTCCCATCTGACTCTTCCCATGTTAATTCTTACCAGCACTCACCCTCCTAATGACTCAGGTTTCTGACACTTGGATGCTGCCTTCTGATAATGACACATCTCAATCTCCAGAATTCCCCCCCCAGGCTCCTTTTTTATTTTTCATGGCTGGCTGGTAGGGGGATCTGAACCCTATCTTCCTAGGATCCTTGCTCCTTCATTCTGTACCCTCTTTCTCCTGTTTCATCATCTCTCCCCTCCATCAGCTCTTTCCTTTCAACTTATGAGCATATTAAATATCTCCTATCTTTAAGAAAATCTAATCGTTCTTGTTTCTGCCCCCAACACTTCATAGAAATTGACTTCCATTTTGACAAATTCAGTGGAAACTTTCTATTCCTCACTTCATAAAATATACTCTGCCTTTGGCACCGCTTATTACTTGCCTTTTGAAACACTGCCTTTGTTTAGTTTCCTGTGATACCATTCTCTGATGGTTTTCTTCCTATCTCACTGGTCACTTCTTAGTCTTTCTCATGAGGTCTTTCTCTCCTCCCCTTTCCTGCTATAAATGTTGGTATCCCCCAGGACTCTGTCCTTGGCCTTCTTTTTGAGTATATTCATGGGAGACTGCACCCAACCATAGCTGATGACTTTAATGACCACTTATAAATTGATGGCAACTGCATTTATATTTGCATTCTGGTGCCCTCTTGAGCTTTGGGAGGTGTGTATCCAATAGGCTGCTGAACATCCACATTTAGCTATCCTGCAGAGGTCTTGAAATCAACATTGCCCTCGGTCAAGGTTTCTCAATCTTTGTACTATTGACACTTTGGGTTGGATAACTTTTTGTTGGGGGAGGGCTGTTAGGTGCATCATAAGATGTTGTCCCTGGCCTCTACCCACTAGATGCCAGTAGTTGTGACAACCAAAAAATGTTTCCTGGGGAACACAATCACCCGCGGTTGAGAACCACTGCCCTAAGCTAAAGTTACCCTCTTCCCTTCCCAAGTGTTTTTTTCCCTCACCTTAGTCAATTGTCCCACCATGTACTAGAAACATGTCATCCTAGACACATCCATCTTAATAACCCCCTTCCTCCTTAGCCGCATCTAATCAATCTCCAAGTCTTGTCAGTTTTACTTTTTAGAAATCTCTTGAATCCACCCATTTCTCTCAATTTCCTCTACTACCAGCACTCTAATCCAAGCTCCCCTCTTCTTTCACCTAGATTACTGCAGTAGCCTCCAAGCGGGTCTCATTGATTCCAGCCCCCTCTCTGTGTATTCTCCACCAGCAGTCAGAGCCATCCTTAAAATACAAATAAGATCATGCCTCTCTTAAACTTCTGCAGTAGTTGCCCATACGTGTTTCTTACCTTTGCACTTAAGAGTCTTCATGAGGTCCCTGGCCTAATCTTCTGCCACATCCTCCCTGCTTTCCTCTTTCAATTTGTATTGAACCAGTGCTACCCTGCCATGCTCTGTCTAGAATGCCTTCAGTCATCTTTGCCTGACTAAGATTTACTGCAGGTGTCAGATCCTGTAGAAAACCGTATCCAGCTCCTCAATCTGGCTAGGGTTTCCCCTCTGTACTCCTGTGTCTCCATTGCATATCTCCTGTTATAGTGCTTGGTACGCCATATTGCATTACTTGTTTGTGCTTTCCACATTAGACCATAGAGGTAGTAGAAGTGTATTATTTAACTTTGTACTCCAGCACTTAGCACAGATTCATACAGACAGTGGGTACTCACCAAACATTTGGTGAATGACTACCTCTTTGCAGTATGTTACCCAAGTTTCTAGCCCTTCCAGCTTCTGTTGGGCAAATTTCCACCTTCCATATCTATCTGAATGAGTTCCTCCTTCCTGCAAAATTTGTTCTGGACCTGAAATTCAACCCAGTAGGTACTCAAATACAGGCCAGATGCCCACTGTAATAATAGTATCTTACATCTATGTAGTACTGGGATGTTCTCAGTCTTTTTATACCTTCATGTCTCTTTCTGTTACTGGTACTGACATTCCATTCCATTAAGGTGATAGGATAACCTTAATCTGCTTGCTATTGAGGTTTAAATACCTACTTTAGAGGCTTGAGGCAAAAATATGCATTTTATGGGAGCTGGCAGCCAGAGCACCAAGACCTAAGAAGCAGTCTTTAAATGAATTACTATTTATTTTCTACCAAAGCAATACAAGTGCGTAGTTTTAAAAGTCAAATAGTACTGAAGGGTTAGGAAGGAAGTGGTGGTCCTCTTTCTCACCTCCCCTTATTCTTGAGTATTGCTCCCCAGAAGCAGCAGCAATTTTTTAGCTATTTTGTCTGTTTTTCCATATTCTAAATAGTACATTATTCTGATATATATATATTATTCTGACCTATCATTTCCATATCATACATTGACTTCCAGTTATGGCATAGAAGAATTTATCTCTTTTGTCTCCCCTCCCAAACTACACTTTCTCTCAATCTTTATAGCACAGTTTTTGGTTAAATTAATATTTAGTGTTTATATTGTTATGACCATGTAGATATTCAATATTTAGCTAAGTAAATGTACTTTTTGAATTTTCTTTCATTTTGTATCATGGAAAATCACAAGTATATAAAAGTAGAGAATGGTATAACAAACCTCGTGTACCCATTACCCAGCTTCAGTAACTATCAACATATGGCCAATCTTGTTTTATCTATATCTCACCTACTTTCCACCCATTTCCTTTGTATTAGTTTGAGGCTAATTCCAGCCATGATATCATATAAAATATAAATAGTGTAAGTTCTAAAAGGACTTATTTTTTTTTTAAACATAGCCTTATACCATCATCACAGCTAAAAATAAACATTCAGTATATCAAATATCTGGTAAGTGTTCAGATTTGACACTGACTTATCCGATGCATTTTTTTTTAATAGTTCAAATCAGGATTCAAACAAAGTATACATGTTGCCTTTGATGAACATGTCTAGTCTTTTTTAAGTACCCCGCCCTCTTAATTTTTTGTCTTTGCAATTTATGTTTTGAAGAAACTTGTTTGCTTTCCTATAGAGATTCTTACATTCTGGATTTTGTTGATTGAATCCCCATGATGTCATTTAATGTTATTCCTGTTTCTTGTATTTCCTATAAACTGGTAGATCTAGAGTGTTCACCAGATTCAGGGTTGATTTTTGGCAAGAATATTTTCATACATATATGTCTGATGGCTGTCGTTCAGGGATAAGATCCAGGTGCCATCAGCTTGATTTGCTTATTAAAAAGCTCCTCGTCAGCTTTTCACCTAATGGTCATTGGTGATCATTGCCTAGATTCATTGTTCATGAGGGGCTGCAATGTGGGGATAATTTTAAGTCTGTCATGCCCTCTTCACTTAATAGCTGGAATTCTAAAAATAACTTTCCTTATCAACTATTTGGTTATCCTGAGATATTCATACAATAAAGGCAAGGTGAAGGCTTGGTTCTTTCACCTCCTCAAAAAGTGATCAGTTTAAATTTGTTTATTTTGGTATCATTATGAACGCATGGATTATTGACATAGTTGATATGAGGGGTTTTCAAAAAGTTCATGGACTCATCTTAATTCCATTTTCCTGTGAACTTTTTGTAGTATCCTTGTATGCTTCAGTCCATTGCACATACTACTTTTTTGATATTCAAACTGTTCCATTCTGGGCCAGTTGCCTCAGAGCCCTAGGAGGTCCAGTTCTAGAGTAAAATATTCCTAGCACACTTAGTCTATTTTCTGCCAAAGACTTGGAATTAGCCATTTCTTCAAGGAATCCTTGTTTCTTTTAATGGGAAATAGTATGTGGAAGCCACAGTATGGGTGTTAGGGGTGCTTATTTATACTGGGTTGTTCATATTTCAAGGCTTTTTTAGTGGACATAGCTAGGAAATTTTCTTTTTTTAAAAAGATGGCTGGTAAGGGGATCTTAACCCTTGATGTGGTGTTGTCAGCACCACACTCTCTCAAGTGAGCTAACCGGCCATCCCTATATAGGGATCCGAACCCTTGGCCTTGGTGTTATCAGCACCGCACTCTACCAAGTGAGCCACGGGCCGGCCCCTGAGCTAGGAAGTTTTCTTAAAGAGAAAATATACGTACTGATATATCTAGATCAAATTTAGAATTAGAGTTTTTACTTAAATCCTTTGATTTTTATATTTTTATTTCTTGTGTCTTACAGTGAATATGAGCTCCTGACAACTTTAACATATTTGTTTTGCTATGTATATAATAATTTCAGAACAACAGTAACAATATTAACAATAACTAACGTGATTATTGAAAGGAGCTCAAGATTTCTTTCCAGTTCTTTTTTATCAAATTATTGTGCCCCTTGAAATAATTCCTCTCTGTAGTTAAGCCAACAATTTGATACACAGGTTCTTTTTTTTTTTTCTTTAATTTTGATTTTTTTATCTTGATTTAATTTTGTTCTATAATT